AGAGATAGCTTATCCAGTTGGTAGACTTTTTAGGTTATCCTTATCTAGTTATCCTCTCTCCCAAGGACCAATTGTATTCCGCTACTAGCTCATCCTCGACGCATCGTATAATTAATTCTTGAAAACGAAATAGTTATAATTCTCAGCCACTAAATTAGTCTCAGTTCAATTTACAGTTGATTGGATGTGATCTCTGTATTTCATAGTTATGTAAAGTAATATATTGTAAATTAATTCTATTTAAAAGAAATGTCCCGTTGGGTTTCTTTCTGGTTCTTCTCAGGACAGGTTTTCTCCGAAATAGTGGTCGTATTACTGTATTGAATGAAAAGGATTCTATGCCATTCTAAAAGCCTTTTCATGGAACCCCACATTTAAAATCATCCTACATATATAAAAAATTGCAAATAATATAGTTATGTTAAAAAGTAAATAAATGTATTCTATATCAATGAAAAAAAAGAGTATTTTCTTATAACCAAACTTGGCGAACCAATCAAGATATCACATTATCAAAACAACTGACAATTAGTTCCGACTGACATCTGCGATATAATTTTTTTCTTTTATCTGCTATGTGTCGCGTAAATTTTGATATTTCCCGTTCTCAGTTTTCATGACATCCCAAATAAAATATTGTACAAGCATTAACTACAATTTTCAGGTTATTATTCAAAGAGAAGCCAAATTTAAAGTTAAGTTCAGATATATAATTAATGATATACTTTTATTGCAGTTTTTGTAAATACGAGTAAATAAGGCCTATAGTTATATTTCAAATTATACCAAATTGAAAGTGATTTATATGCAACAACGTTTTTGCTAACCGATGGATCCTTACAAATTAATTTGTAGGCAGTAAAATTAGTTAAAACACTGCATTACCACGCATTTCGAATTTCAAAGACAAAAAAAGACAGCATGGTTAAGATTTTTTTAATAATTTTCTTCGCCATATGCCTTTATTACTTTTTCTGAACCTTCTCTGCAAATTTGGCCTGTTATTTCAAAATAACCCTGTATTACATTTAAGTATAGTGAACTCAGCAGCACTCGTATATATATATATATATATATATATATATATATATATATATATATATAAAAATATATTACAATTTTAGGTAGACATTGATGTACCATGTGCTCGGCGGTGAAGGAAAACATTGTAAGGAAACCTACATGTCACAGTACACATTAAATATTTACGTGGTAGAGCCATTCTGCAGCTATATTATGGTTTTAGTACAAATTTGTCGGCCGACCGAGGTAAGACCACGCTTTCACAGAATACCAGCTACCAGTACCAGCAGCCAGCGAATAATGCTGCTGTGTTTCGTATGGGAATAAAGAACGGGAAAACCTTTTTACTGGTAACGAGGCATTACATCTTTGTATTCAGGGAAGACAACGCGCCTGCATTTTGATTCTGAATGAGTATAAATGTAGTTGGACTGTGTGCTTGAAACTTTTATTCTATAAATTTAAAAAAAAAATTCGGCTCATTTATATGATATGTGAAGTCTGTATGTGACATATGAAACCAAAAACAGTATAACATGTATAGGTTATTAACGTACATAAATACTGAACAGATAAAGAACCGTAAGGTCCAAGTAAAGTTCATTCTCATTTCTGTTAGAGTTGGGTAAGGAAGTTGCCGCCGCTGTGCCCTTATGCGTGTTTCCGTAGTTTACACTAATTAATATATATTTTTGCTTTTACTGATGTGCAGGTATTCTTACGATGATTTTATTCGCTGCGATTGCATTGTAATTTCATATGTGCCGGTGGAGATCAAACCCACGATGCTCGCATATGAGTACTTTTAAATTTACACCGAGCGCTTAGCTCCTGAGCTATCACGACTTTAATCTTTTATTAAAAATAGGAAATACTGTTATTATGCTTACCTTCATCGCAACATCTATCAAGATTTCGAACATATTTCATGTGGAATAGACCGATTTAGATCCTTACTTTGTTGAATCTGGTGGCAGCACTGCACGAAATGCTTTTAGCTTAATACATACAGTATTCTGAACACAATATATTTCTTCGGTAATTAAATAAAAATTGATTAAGTCTATACTAAGCATACAAATAAAATTGAAGTATCGTTTTTCTTTTTTTTATAGCAATGGGTGACAAACGAGCACACAGTCCGCCTGATGGTAATGAATGCTGAGGCCCATAGACATCCACATTTATCTTCAACTAAGGATCAAAATGCAAATGCGTTGTCATGAGGACCTAGACTGAGGACTAAGATGGAATGCCTCGATTCAGTAAAAAGGATCACTGGTTCTCTCCACTCACCATACGAAACACAACAGCATTACGCTGCTATTTTACGCTGGTAATGTGAGAGTGTGTTTACACCCCGGTCGAGCCGACCCATTCGAGCTAGAAATATAATATTACTGTAACGTGGCTCTACCACGTACGTGTTTGTCTGTAATATCTAATTTCTGACTTCTTTAAGACATGATATTTAAAATTGACCAACCAATTGCGATGGAACTTCACGAAAAGATAGAGAGTAATGATAAAAGTTACCTAGACTATATTATATCCGAAAAATTAGAAGATAAAAAAACGAAAAATTGATAAATTAAAAAAATTGATTATTTCAAATCTAAATAACACCACATTAATCCTAGGTTTGGTCCATTAAATAATCTAGATTTGGTCATTTGCCTTGTTGATCGTAAGCGCAACTAATGATCGTAAAGTCTAACTATGAATCATGGGTCAGTCAAGAAATTATCAGTAGCAGATCAGAGTGAAGAATTTGGCAGTGTTTCTAAGGCGTGCCTCGAAAAGCACTTAAAACCGTTTGCCCTACACCTGATCTCTTTTTGGTCGTGTCGTATTACCGTTTCATTGGACTATAAAGGTGAGAGAATAGCAATTAGCATTCACTCGTGAACTATTAGTCTGTCCTGCGTAGATCGCTAGTCTCCAATAAGAGTCGTCGCCGCGACCGAATGGTTTCCTTCGTCTTTCATAATGCGTACAGCGTCTGTTTTTCATCCGTTTACAATCTGCGTGTTTGTAGGACCAGAGTGAATAAGCTTTTTTCCCTAAGGCCATCTAGTATTTCATCGCTTGCCACTAAAAGGGAATAAGGTTAGATATAGAACAAAAAAACTACGTACAAATTAATTAAATATAGATCATAAATAATCAAATATCCCAATGTAAAAATATCTAGTTCCTTTTTTCATATTGAAAAACGGATGTGACGCAAAAATAAAGTACTTTTTAATTATACATTTGCATAGTATATACGACAGCACAGTTTCATATCTGTACTCACTCTGTACGCCCACATCCCTCGGGATTGGCTTATGAGAAATGCAAAAGATTATTCCTGGAAGCAAAACGAAACATTTATGTAAGACTTTTGTGTTATTTTTTGTTGTAACCTTCAAAAATACAGTTCGATAGTGATTTATGTTACGCTTGGCACTAACCAAATAAACCGATTTTATAGTCGAATATATCATTCGTACTTAAGCCAAACAACACTATATAAAAAATTTATTTCAATTGTTCTATAAAAGTAATCAGTCACAAGCCCAGTGTTTGAAGTTTAGTTTCGGTAGATATTAGAGTGAAAAAATATAAGCTCAGTAAAATGTTACCATTTAAACCGTTCAGTATCTGCACTGCATCGTGTAGTAAGTACGATGAGTTGTTTTTATTCGAACCGTACGAGTACCTATTTCATAATAGTGAATATTTTCACAGCTTAAAGCGCGAACATCTGTGAAGATACTGACGTCTCGTTCTAACGCTCTGAAACGAAGCCCGCCTGTATTCCACGTAGTGCACGACAACAACCGATTTTAAAATACGAACGCAGAACTTCACTCGCAATCTGAATTCGGAGCGGAAGCTTCGCAAATTTCGGTCAGCTTTAAACGTGATCGCACTCGGAAAGCTTTCGAAATTTAAATTGTAAATAGTAAAGGATGTTTTTTTTAATAGTACAATCTGCATAGTGCCAGTTGTAATGGGATCTGTTTTCAACGTGTGCCATCCGTATGTAAATTGGTTTTGTATTTCGATTAATAATATAATGTTTTGTTTAATAAGGATTCTACGTGATTTTATTTTTAATGGTAATATAAAATGAGATTGGTAGCAAAAATTTAAAATTTTTGGGTTCTGATTGGTTTCGTTCGTTACATATAATCAAATTCCACTACTGTACATAATATGCTTCCCCATATATTTCCTTAGTTGCTAAGATTGGCAGGGAGATGCAAGGCAAATGCAGTTCTTTATTGTTTAGTTGTTATGACGCTGCTGGCCTCTCGGCTCCCGATTTGTTTCCCTCTGTCGCCTCGTGAGACAACCACGGTATTGGATATTTTTATACTTCTGCTACACGGTCTAAGTTCACATTATTAAGAGAAAAGAAGACAGTTTGGCATGTAAATTATTTAAGAGATAATTTGTTTGGATTGCGCTCATGTATTTTTAAGGAATTTCCCTCCAATCATGTCGCGCCCTTTTTCAGAAAATAACATATCTATGTTTTGCTTAAGACGTAAAATAACAAACAATCCACAAAATAGTTACTTTATAGAAATAAGAGACAAACAATCGTATATTTTATCTGATTAGTAAATGTTGTGGCTCATAGACACACAAACACATACACATCTATCCTAGATTAAAAATCAAAATGAAGACGCGTTCGCCACATCCTTACTAGTAGGGGTTTTTGGTTCTCTACACTCACAATACGTAACACATCAGCATTATTCTGCTACTTCACGCTAGTAATCAGATAGAGCGTTCGAGGCCGGTTCGCCGGTCAAGACGACTAATATATTTTTACATCCGTAGTATTTCTGCAGCGAGGCTCTACCAATTATAAATAATATATCTCTTTTTCTTTTCTTTTTCAGGTAAAACAGTGAAATTGTGTGTTTGAAAATGTGCCTATTAGTGTAGTGATGTTTAAGTGAAGTGTTGTGATCAAAATGGAGCCAAATCCACTACCGTTAGAGGTGGACGACGAGAGCCGGCAACCCCAGGGATCTTCCACCGGAAGTGGTTCTTCATCAGGCACCGGATATTATGGACATAAGAACGGTAAATAATTTAATTTTTTATTTAGTTCAAAATTAGAATCTCAAATGGCTACTGTGGAACGGAGTTTTCATATTTAAAGAGCTATTTTATGTTATTTTGTGTGTTACTTATGTTGGAAGTAAATGTGCAAATGTGGCGATTGGATGAATGTGTCTAATTGGTTATGATTGAATGGGTTTATGTTGATAAATTTCTTATACTAATAGTTGTGAATATTGTCCGTGCCTGCCGATTTCTATCTATAAAGATATTTATTGCTATAAATTCAAATTCCATTTCCGGAATCTGGGGACACCTTATATACCACACTTTATGTAGACAAGGTACTATTCCAACTATTAGACAAAACATAACAATTTTCTCAAGATATACTCTACACATGCCTGTTCATAAATTTCACATCCTTAAATTTCCCCTTACGCACTTGGTTCCGACTGAGGTATCTTTAACTCTCACAAAAGAGAAGAAAAAATTCGCAATACTAACGTAGATGATTTAAAGCAATAAGCGTTGTGACTTAAAATACCTAATTGAAATTAAATGCGATATAATCCGTAAAGTTGATTCTATTCAAGGTATAGTATTCGCATAAATTTAAGAAATCATTAGTTTATAAATTTTAAGAAAGAAAATTAAATTGAATAAAAGCGTGATAAATAACGTGCGTAATCTTTTATTTTAAGATGTGAAAAAAAAAGATAATTTGAAAGCAAAACAGGTGTTAAATAGCTAGTATATTAGTTATAAAAATGATAAATGTTATCTAGAATACCACACAAAACACGAAGCTGCTCATAAAAATATTATCAAAAAATAAACTCTAAGCATATGTCACGTCATATGTAATGTCAGTGGCAAATATTGGCCATACACAATTATTGTATTGAAGTTGGTTACATAAATTGTTTTGTATGTCAATTTCAGAGATAACTTCCAACGTTAAATTTCTTCTAATTACGCGACCATTGTTTAAAACTAGGGCTGAGTTGTTTGACATCCCGATGTCATAGTTCACAGTAACCCCACCCCCCACCCCTCGTGACCATGGGTGATGCAAAGCTCTTGAAGCGTCGAATTAAATTAAATGCGATGAAATCCATAAAAGTTTGTTGTTTTTCGTCAGCCCGTACGTTAAATATATAAATTAATTTTTCTTTCTTTCTTTCTACAAGTCGTTTTATTCAATGTAACTTCTAACTTTTAAATCTGCCAACGGCACTGTCCTCAGAGTTTGAGCTGATATTAAATGAATGTGGTAATAAAAACGTTAAGTATATATCTGAATAAGTTAAAGCCCATTCGAATTAATCAACGTCTTGAAGCAGTGCCATTTCTTATTTCTTTCTTGATTTAAACGTGATAAATCTTGGCAGTTTCCGAACTTCTAAGAATTTGGATTACCTAACATTTAATATATATTATGTAGATAGAAACGTACGTAAGATATTGATAAAAAAGAAAAAGCTAAATAATTTGGACTTAAACCAATTACGGAAAGTCACAGCCACACTTCGGCCCACAGCTGGGCGCATGCCCCTAACATGTAAAATAGCCTCAATGTGTTTGTGTAGAATTCACGTTTAAAATTTATTTCTTAAATATTTTAGACATGCAAGTTTCCTCACATTGTTTTCCTCCACTACCGAGCACATGTTATATCAACATTTTAATTTAGTTATAACAATAATTTCTGTAATATCGGCGTCCAAAGTTGCGATTCTTCTCACCTCAAGTTTATTTTTTCACAGTTAGCAGGTGACAACTGCTTGAGTTTAAAAAAAGTTAATCTTTATTTTCACGTCTAACCGTCGGTCTATTGGAATAGATACGAGGGTGGATTGAAAAGTACTCGGCCTAACCAAGAAAATAAACACATACTAAATCAGTTATATTTTTATTTTACTACATAATCACCATCAAGTTCAATACACTTTTGCCACCTCCCCTTCCAAGCATTTAGACCGTTGAAAAAAAATGATTCTTCCTTAGAGTCAAAATATGCGTCTACAGCTGCTTTGACCTCGTCGTTTGTCGAAAATCTTTGACCTCCCAAGTGCTTTTTTAGGTTAGGGAACAGAAAGAAGTCTGATGGTGCCAGATCAGGTGAATACGGCGGATGCGGTAACAGTTCAAAGCCACAGTTGTGAATTTCAGCCATTGACTGTACTGACGTGTGAACACGGGCGTTATCTTGATGAAACAGGACTTTTCTTCTGAGCATTCCTCGACGTTTTTCTTTTATTTCCTCTCGTAAACGACGTAGTAAGGTGCAGTAGTAATCAGAGTTTATAGTCTGACCCCTTTCAAGATAATCAATCATAATCACACCTTTCGAGTCCCAGAATACTGATGCCATCACCTTATTTGCCGACAAAATCGACTTAGCCTTTTTTGGGGGTGGTGAACCAGGTCTTCTCCACTGTTTTGATTGTTGTTTTGTTTCCGGTGTACACTAATGAACCCATGTTTCGTCCATAGTAACAAAACGATTCAAAAAATCATCTGCATCGGCTTCAAATAACTCCAAACAGTCGCGTGAAATAGTCAATCGCGTCCTTTTTTGTTCAACTGTCTGTTGTGTTGTTGAAAGCAGTCGCGGAACCCACCTTGCAGACACCTTGTGGAAACCCAACTCGTTGACAATGATGTTTTGAGTTCGTTCATAAGAGATGCCTGTAATCTCGGCTATCTCTCTAATTTTTAATCTGCGGTCTCCCATTATTAAATCAAGTACTTTTTTAATATTTTCGTCAGTAGTTGACGTCGAAGGCCTTCCAGAGCGGGGTTCATCTTTCACACTCTCTCTACCACGCTTAAATTCTGCTATCCATTTTTTGACGGATGAATATGACAAAGCACAATAGCCTAATGTACTGACCATGTCATCATGGATGGCTTTTGATGATAGCCCCTTCTTATGGAGGTACTTAATGACGGCACGCTGCTCGATTTGCTCCATTCGCGGAAATTATGTCCGATTACTTTGTTAATAAATTTATAAAATCACAACTAATTATCGCACACGTTTCGAACTTCACACAATGAACTAGTCTGAACTGAACTAAATAATGTGGGTAGATTTGATTTTTAAAATTGAATGGATCTGTGTTAGGCCGAGTACTTTTCAATCCACCCTCGTAATAATAATACACTGTGATCTCAGTCAAACGGTTAGGAAGCGTTAACTGAGTGAATGAGGTAAATTTTACACTGGCTTCATTTTAATGAAGGGTACGGAAGTTAAACCAGTTATCTGCTCGCTATTTTGGTGCTAATAAACGATTATGTATCAAAATAGAACTGGGGTTATGCGCAAGTTTACGATGCCTTTTGTGTTTACAGTGAACTAGAATGGACTCTTTCAAAAACGTAGCCCATAAACAATATTTAGTATTTAAATGAAACTAGTTTTTACGGATTTTATTGCGTATATTAACTTTCTAGAGATCCGCCCCAGCTTCGCACGGGTAATTTCTGGATCTCGACAACAGCGCCACCTACCGAGCCCAAATATATAATATAATCAATACAGAGTCCCATTTAAATACACACAAAAATTCATCAAAATCTGTTGAATGGTTTCAAATTTTATAACGGACGTAGTTAGAAACATTTTTTGTGTGTTTAGATAGATTTTATATTCCAGACGTTCGAGCACTTTACAATACCCATGTTCGCGGGAGGGACTGAGGTGTTGACGTCCCACTACCGTAGTTAACCAAGGCTACCTTCAGATTAAAATATTTTATTATTAATTTTAGTGCGATCGACGCAGTATTAAGTTGAATTGAAGTTTTAGTATAGTACTACCATTAATATTAGTTTGTTTGACTGCCTCGTTGGTCTAGTGGTTGTAGTAGTGCGACTGCTGATCATGAGGTCCTGGGTTGGAATCCCGGGTCGGGCCGAAAATTTAACTATTGAGATTTTTCGTCAATAAATTCTCAGTAGTTGCCCGGAGTCAGGAAGTTGGCGGTGTCTCACCCCCGTGCCTCGGAAAGCACGTAAAGCCGTTGGTCCTGTGCCTGATTTCTTTCCGGTCGTGTCGGTTTACCGTCCCATCGGATTATGAGATTGGGGGGAATAGTGCACCTATGCTTGCGCATATACTTGGGCACTATAATCCTGTCCTACGCCGATGGCTAGCCTCCGTTGAGGCAGGCCGCCGTGGCCGAAATTTGGTCTTGAGGACATTATTATTATTAGTTTGTTTGTACTGCTGTCTTGTAATATTTATTAATTAATTCATTGCTTCTTACTAAAGTCCTGTGCTAAACCTAGTCGTCTTTAAAGATTGACTCTTAAGTGTGATATTTCTCGTAGTTAAAACCAAGCTTGGCAACCGCAGATTTTTTGTTATAGTCAGTATTAGTAACTATTATTATGCTAGTAATTTAGTAAGGTAGTCTTAGTGATGCAACAGATTTTATTTGACTATTTATTTAGGTTTTCTACGGGCCAAACGTCCACTTACCATCAGGTGTGCGGCAAAAATAACTATTCAATTGTCAGTGTTACTTTTACATCTATAAAAATATGGCCCCTTTGCATAGTAGCTATCTGGTGGAGCATATGTCACCTTTACTTGTTGGAAATATTTGTCGAGACGAGTTTTCTGAAATCTCGGGGGAACGCTTTAAAATTGTAGATAGCTCCCGATTTTTAGCATACAGACAAAGAAGTAAGATAAAAGTTTTATTACACAGTTCTTCCTATACAAAATCGTTTATCAATGGCAGTCGGAGTCGGCAGGACCATGACAGAGCCATAGCTCATCACTGCCAACCCGCACTGTTTGTAAAATCTAGGTTTGAGGTTTTGAGGTATGATAGACGAGAAGATGTATTGTAATCTTTCGAACGTTGATTGACCTCTCGGTCGATGTTAGACCTAGTCAGACTATTTATCTCAGGTAAACATATTCATCAACAACTTTGAGCTTAGTACTCCCAACAACTTCCAACATCGCCTTAATTTCGACGGAGTCAAAGGCTTTTTCG